TCCTTGTTGTTTCCTTTTTTTCGTCGATTGCACTGTTAACCGTAGCCATACCTGTTGCACTATAAACACTGACTTTCTGAGAAAACCGTCAAATATTTACTTTGAAGAGGTAACTCGATCTCGCAATAATAACTTGGATAGGTTATTGTTAAGAAAACTGCGGTCCAGCACACTCGACAAATATTATATAATAAGTTACATTGTCTTCCGCGATATTGTTGAAAAATTAAATTGAATTTTTTTTGCGTATATTCATGCCTTTTAATATTAAGAGTTAAAAAAAAGAAAATATGATTAATCAAAAGATTATAGGATCTTTATCAATAATTTTGTCTCATTGATGGTATTATAAATTACATTTATTTTATTTTATTATACATTATTTAAGAGTATATAAAAAGTTTGATGTAAATTGCGTTGCTGGTATTTCTTAGACTTTTCCCTTTTCACTGCAGTTTTCAAATCAAAACGACGGAGAAAAGCGCACTTTTACTAAAAGCAATTTTTATTACAGTATACGTTCGTAAAATCGTTTTTCACGCCGTTGATCGCAACTTGGCACGCGCGTGCCGAGTTGCGTTTATTGCTCAAGCCGTGTCCGTCTTTACTTTTCAGTGCAATCGCGACCGCTTAATAAAACTTTAAAAGGTTTTCCAGTAGTCCCCGCCCCCCTCGCGCTATTTCTCTTCCGCGTTATTAAGTTGAGAATTGATAATTCACGTAACAGGGGAGAAACTGTTACGGAGCCGTTACATTTTACGGTCGCGAGCCTGTTACGACGTACCTAATTTAAAAGGCGCTCGTTCTGCGTTTTTCCACGACTTACAAAGACCGCAGATTTTGTCGCGTTCTTTTTGCAAAGTAAATGTCTTTTGCAAAGAAATGTGGGACGTTGAAAGTACCTTTTTTTTTTTCTCTTTCTTTAAAGAAGGAGAATGGCGCGTGGTATTTAATATTCGGACCCTGCTTTTCGTTACGTCCGCGCTACCGCCGCTGATTCCGAAGAGATTGCGTTTTAATCCCGAACCCCTAACGTGTATATATATATATATATATATCGTCTCATGGGGACGTTTGTTCATCGTCGAATAATCCCGCCCTTGCTCAAATAATCTATACGCTGTTTCTTCTGGCTATGTCCTTCGATACACCACCTGCGTCGGTCGGAGTTTATACAGCTACGTACAGAGTGTGTATCGAGCTTCGTATTTCACTCATTTATTTTTGATTCACGAATTTCCGAGCAATTCTTTCTTCACAAAAATTTAATGAAAAAAATTTCTTGTCACATTTTTAAAATTATTTAAATTAAATATATCTTGTCTTTGATTACACTGAGAAAAAAAAATCGTTGATTCAAAGAAATATTATTTGATTTAACTAAATGCAGCGGTCACGGGCTGTCAAGCAAACATTTGTTAATTCAAAAAATATTATATTGAAATAAATTCAGAATTTCTTAATATTACTCACGTATATTTGATTTAAATATATTAATATTTGCATTAAACAAATCACTACAACTAAACGAGTTTAGTCAAATTAACGACATTTTTTTCTCAGTGTACTTGGAGAAACTTGAAATTGGATGAATAAAATTTTACTTTTTATCAGAAAAGAAAAAATCTACTAGAGGATCACATGCTCGGTTAATCAGCTTTTAAAGAACTATATACCGACGCTTGGATGATTATGTTATGGAGAAATTTGGAATAGTCTAAATCGATTTAATTGTCAAGAAGTCCATTTAAATTCCAATTAATCTACGATACCTACTCACGTTGCTATGTATAGATATATTATATTTTTCGTTTTTAATTTCTATGGGTAAAACCGATAGCAATCACGTGGAAACTTTGTCGTTCACCCTATACATTTCATGGGGTGGGCGGTGGTAGTCTGCGTGGCGACGTCGAAGGTCGATACCGCGCGCGAGTCCTCGTCCACCGGCGTCATCGCTTCCCGCCGTGACCCTCCCCATAGGGAGGGGGGGAAATTCTTCCCCGAAGGCGGCCGTCGAAAAAGGGGTAGGAAAGAAGAGGATCTTCGATAGCCCACTCTCGCGAAGGGCTCTCGCGAAGCGATCGAGAGGGAGAGTCGTAATTTCCCTATCACGCGTCTCATCGGGCATAAAATTGCAATTTCGCCCCCGCTCGAACAGCCGCCCGATGACCTACGAGTTCTAATATCCGCCTGTAATGATCGCACGAGGATATATCCTTCCCACGAGCGACGAGACCTGCCCGTTACACCGGTAATGGCATTTACCTTTACGATATGCGACGCTCGCGGTGAAATTGTTTTGGAGATTGAAATCCCGCGCGCCGCTGGACCGCGCTGCGCCGGTTTAATCCGAACGGCGAACATCCGCACCGGCGCGGGCGGCGTTATTAATTCAACGGCTGTGATAGATCGCTCGACGTTCATTTGATCTTGAGATTTATGAGGGAGGTCCTGCATACAAAAGAGACGTCTAGTATACGAATTGTATTCATGAGGGACGGACCCGGGTATTATTTTCCGTCATTTAATACACTTTTCAATATTTTCGGACGATGGGGTTCGAAGAAGAGATTTCTCTTCACCCTCTTTTTTTCTCTCCGCTCCTTTTTCTCAGTGATAAACTTTAATTGGAAGAGAAGCGCGATTACACAATGAATTACGTAACGTTAACAGTTGATAATTCAGAGCCGTTCTTCTGCCTTGATTACCAATATAACGGAGAACAGTGATTTAGTGCTTGCGACGAAATTGTTCTGGGGATTGAAATTCCTGACGTTGTGACGTTGTACTGATTTAACTTGACGGCAGGTATCTTTACCGGTGATATTATTAATTTACGCGCGAACGTCCATCGCTCTCGAGGTCCTGACCCTCGAGACACGGAGAGAAAGAAATTTTACACGAGATCTACTCGGTGGAAATGTAGAAATCCTTTTTCCTCGCGAGAGAAGGAGAAACTTTCTTCATCCGGATTAGTCGAACAGGATCATAAATGACTCGAGTCGTCTTATCCGCTCCAATTCCAAGTTGTCGATAATGTGTTTTCGCGTTCGCCGTTCCTGGACGAGACTAAATTCGTTAGTCGTGTCCGCTCGCTATCTCCGAGTCGAGAACCCCGAACTAAGACAAACACGGCGGGAAACTCGGCGCGACGTCCGCGTAACCCCCGTCGTCAGTATCCGAAATCGCAATTTCCGCGAGACCTGCACGAGACTTCTGTGAGTGCCAACATCGAGTTTCATGGACTCGCGAGGCTCTCGGCGAGCCCAGGTGCGCCGTTGTACTGAAGTCGACCACGATTCGTCGTTCCCTTTGTGCTCCGCGTTATTGAAAAACACGCGCGAGCAGCTGCCGTTATCCTCAACGTCTGAATAATTTGCACGTCGCGTAATTATCGAAAGTGTAGCGGGAGGATACGCCTCCGCGACGTCGGAAAAATTAACGAACGACTTTAATCACGACGTTGCTAAAACGTGCGATGATTACTCAGAGCGGTTATTCGTAATTATTATTCGCCTCTCAAATTTACGAATTATTTTATGCCATTAATCACATCAATGTGATTCGCTTTTAATCACTTACAATTCCGCTTACACAAAAGTTATTAAGTTTACAAGATAGATTATAAATGTCTTCCCGTAATTCCAAAATGTATTTCTGGATTTCGAAAAAATATTTTTCTTTTTTATGAAATGTATATAATTCAAGTGTCAAACGATATTATTAATAAGATACATGCCACCGGATCTTCAAAGAGAGGAACGTATACATCTTTGCTCTTCGAATCTCGTGATTCAATCTCGCAATTAAATCCAACGGCGACGCGCAACGTCCCACGTTTAGTTATACGGCAGCATTAGCATACTGATCTTAATTAGCAATTAATCTGCCGGGATTCTGTACGTCCACAATGGAATGGTATCGAACGCGATCCAGGAGGATCAAGCAGGGTTAAAGGCGATTGCTTCCTCCTCGGCGAGGGCCAATCAAGCGGCTGATGCGGCTCGGGCGATATAGAGGGACGTTCTGTTTCGAACGAGGAGAAGGCGAGCATCTCCCGTTTGGTGGCTGCAACCGCGTCGAGAGCAGACGTGGCGATATCGAATATTCCGGGGAAAGGGATCGAGAGGGATGGCCGATATATAGGTTGCTGCTCCGCTGCAGCAACAAGCTCGATATCGCTCGCGCGCGGTGCTCGCGCGAGCACAGTTTGGCGTTTACTCCGTTATGCGAGGGTGGGTGTAACCAAAACGTTGCCGAAACTCTCGCTCATCTCGACGAGACACCCGCGTGTCTCGCTACGCATATGTAAGGTGTAACGCGGTTTAATATAGACGTATCGCGCGGCGCGGTGTGTGCGAAGAGCCAAATGCGGATCACGCGAAATCTGTCTCGTCACCATCCGCCGTCTTTCCCGAACAACTCAGGGAGCCACGACATTCCGACACATTCCGAATCGAACCTCTTGTTAGGGAACTCGATCGAGACCCATTTGTCTTCAGACGTAATTTTCGTTCAGGAAATGTTACTCCGAAGGGATCTGAGTCGTGATGAAATAACATTCGTAAGTGATCAATTTTCGCGAGACGTTCATAGTTAATTGCACTTTAATTCGACATTAAAATCTTAGATATACAAGTTTACGGTCGTCGATATAATTATCGTGCTAGATCGATTATGTCATTCTTCGAATTGGACCTTCAGAAACTCTGGTCCCTTGTCTATTACGAAAGAAGTACACGGCAACGCCGTATGAAAACGAATTTATCGTAAATATATTAATACGAAGCTCTATACATTTTCCTCGTATTTTTCTTGTGCTTCCTAACGCTCGGCGATTCCCACCGGAAATTTGTCGAAACTGCCAAGAACGCCGGGATAAATGGCGACATTTGGCTCGCATCGTTTGTCTCCTCGGATGGCCCACGTGGGAGACTACGCGACGCGTCCGTCGTAGGTGATTATAGTCTCATCGACGAACTGTCATTCTGTTGCAGGTTCGAGCACACACAAAAACGACGCGACAGGAAATGGAAGGCCGGCTCCCCTTTTGGCCGAGCCAAGATACGGCGCCGCGCCCCAGCCGTACGGTGAGTACCTGTCTATTCCGTCGGTCCGTCCCGTCCCGTCTGTTCGCCGGTACCTAATGGCCAAATTAAGCTCACCGGTTCGGAAAATAGATGGCCGGGACGATCGCAGGTTTTTCACGAACACGTGTAAAGAATGAGAGTGGATTAATGGGGGGGATCTGACGAAGCGCGGATCGGGCGATGTCCCGAACATCGTTACCGGGAAGAAAAAATATGTCGAGCACATTTGTTCGCGGCGCGGCGTACGGGTGGGAAAGCGAAGTTATCTCGCCGAGACTTTTATGCGGGAAATTACGCGTTCGGGTTGTCAATTATTCGACACGGGACTTCTCCATGCGCGAGGAAAGGATTTTAATTTCTTAAATTGAAGAGATTTTCCTACGACCTTTTCTTTGTAGCGTGCCAAACGCACGCAGAAGCTTGTTCAGCAGGCATTTAAATGTTAATAAGAGACCAAGTGCAAACGTATACCTACCCACATTTTCTCAAAGGAATATTGTGATCTCATTCACAATTTAAATAGCATTCATAACGCGATAGCATATGCAATGCAAATTCGGTGGCTTTAATTACGACGATGAATAAACTGACCCAAAAATTGAAAGAACTGCCGGTCTTACAAAATGCGCAAATTTCAACTGGAAAGCGGAAAATTGCATTTAGAAAATGTTTAATGGAAATTACGTAAAATTTTTGCATGCAAACCTTTCGAAAAAAAAATTTGTCAGAAACACAAGAACGCAAAACATTAAATAGAATTACGTATATTAAAAAATTTATATGTTGGAACTCGTGCTTGCGTAAAATTTTAAATTTAAGAACCAGAATCTACGGATTTTACAGAAATATTTTTTTCAATTTTTGCTACTTTGCGGCTATATATGTAGGTATATGCTTTCAAGATTCTGTCGTCCCTTAATATCATAAAAAAATTCTTATCTCAAACACGTGAGATAGATTTAATAATGCAAAAGCGAAATTGTCACGTAAGCGACACGTGACGGCTGTTGCCGCCGCATCGACCTGCGCTCGGACTGTTGCAGCCGGTGGCGACAGACCGCCGGGCTGCAATCTTTCGATGTCTAAACTGTTGAGCACCTAATATTGACCCCGAGAAAATAATTTCTCTCCGATACAGCTCGGTCTAATACTATCGCCGTAAGTCAACGCCGGTGACCGCGCGGCGTCTCCCGTTGCGATTTTGACGGGAAATCGATGGACCGTACGGCTGACGTGGCGCGGCTGCAATCGAAACCACTCCGAGAGCCTCTCGTTGCGCGATAGTTGTAATCCGATAGTGGAAAACATTATCGTAACTCACCGCCGCGTGGCAACAACACACTTTTCCCAATAGCCCTCCGACGTTCTGAATCGACACCATTTGTCGCAGCATTTAATACCCGGCTACTACGCAGCCAGAGCTACACAAAGCGTTGCATTACCATATTCCAATAAAGCCATCGGCTCGAATTGCTCCGGTCGAGAGTTGAATTGTTCGCTTTTGATTGTCTCCTCGTTGTATTTTTCCTGTGGAACGTGGATTTTCAAACTCCGTGAATCTATGAATAGAGGGCAGATTCTTACTAACGAGGTTCTCCATTCATATAAAAGTACTTGGTTGCTTTTATATAGAAATGATTTCTTTAACTCTGCCGTGACCGTGCGGGGTATTTCAGTTACCCCAGGAGTAAAGGACTCTAAACTGAAAAAAAGACATGAGGTTACTGAGTTACCCCGCATGGTCTGTGAAGTATGTTCCATTAACACGGTCAGGGGAGGGTTAATAATCACTAATAAGTTATATAAATCAGTAGCTTTTTCTCCTAATTGATTGTATATCATATTGGTCATGTTTCATTTATTTATTGAATGTAAATCGGTATTTATAAATTAAAAGGCGCAGCAAAGCACTATTTATCATTTGATACAACAAAAAGAGTAAGATCACTCTGTTCCATCTAATTCATAAATACCGAGTTAGCTCCAGTTATCACGAATTAAGCAACTGTGTTCCCGAGCGAGGTTGTACATGTTTTCGATGCGATGAGTCGTAAAACTCCTTGTGCGACATGCCGATTTGGGCGAACGCGCGTGTCACGGTCGACGATGTACAACCGCGAACGGTGTGGTGTTTCCGCGCGCGGCGTCATTTATCTCGCACGTCCGCATCTGTAGTTCGGTGTGCATCTGTGGTTCCAGGCTCCACGCCGCAGGTCACCTTCCCACCGGGCGCCGGTCACGATCGTTACGAGGAGAACTTCAACGGGCCGGCGACGTACGCGGAGCCGTACGTCGAGCGTTACGGCATCAAGAGCGATTTCAGCGGCCGCGAGCCGTTACATCCCACGCCACCTCGGCCGGGTTACGTGCCCACCCTGGGCCAGACGCCGCCATCCAGCACGCAGGGCTCGGTCATGATGGTGTACGGACTGCAGCCGGACAAAGTCAATACTGACAAGCTCTTCAACCTGTTCTGCTTGTACGGCAACGTGACGAAGGTAGGTCGCCTCGAGTCTTCAGCCCCCATGTCCGTGTGGTGTGCCCACCTTTCCCCGGGTCCTTTGTACGTGGGCGCTCGTAGCGCGTGTTCAGAGTGTTGAATGGAACGAGCTGGTGGGATCGAACAAAAGGATCGCATGACTTAATTATCGTCATGGTACCTCGGCGTTAACACGGTACGGCCATTGAACATGACACGTAACTACGTTTAACGAGGACCAACAGACTCCGGTTTCCATGTACATTTATACATTTAACAAGGATTAGCGAGAGCGCATTATATTTAACGAGAGCCAAATCCTACGCACTGCTATATACGGGTCATGAATGGTTCCTTCATTCAACACGCGGTTTTCGATCAAACATTGGAAAGTGACTTAAACGTTGAAGAACACTCTCGCCAAATTATTAATAAAGTTGTAAGGAAGTTCATAAAATCCACGTCGAATTCTTTCAAGACTATTTTTGTACAGTCGGTTACTCTAATTTCTCGATGTAAATCGACGAAGGGATCGATCGCACTTAGGGCGACGAATTTCAAGTCCCCCTGTTTTCTCGTTCCAGGTCAAATTCTTGAAAACGAAGGAGGGCTGCGCGATGATACAGATGGGAGACAGCATAGCAGTGGAACGATGTCTGCAGAACCTGAACAACGTCACGATCGGAACGGACGGCAGACTGCAGCTCGGCTTCTCGAAGCAGGCCTTCCTCTCGGATGTAACCAACCCCTACGTTCTACCCGACAAGACAGCGAGCTTCAAGGACTTCACGGGAAGCAAGAATAACAGGTGAGTGGAGGACGCGCACTGCGCGTCAACTCTCCCGCGTTTTATCGTTCATTTTTTCCTCGGCTCCCTTCAACCCCACACGTTGAGGACCATTTGTCTCCGCTTGATCTTTCTTCCATTCTCCGTCGCGATATTTTCTCGCCCTATATATATATATATATATATATATATATATAGAGCGAGAAAATATACTTATATGACGAAAGTACATATAAATCTCCATCGCGGAAGGTGCACCTTCGAGTTTTCCTGGCGACTATTTCTTTCCTCGCCATTTAATCGCGCGTTTTATCTGCGTGACAAATTTATACTACGTGAAACGTTCCGTTGCGGCTTTATGTTTAACGCCTCGCCATTGGATCTTACGATGGATCGGGAATAATAATTTTATTACGAGCGCCAAAATAAAATTTTCACTGAACTTTAACAAATGCACTTGAGAATGAAAATACTTATAAATAAAGCAGTGTATAAATAGAAAGTTTAAATAAAAAATTCTTATAAATTATTACGCTACGATTTGTTGTATTTATATGATATACTAAATTTCTAAGATTCTATTTAATCAGGAAATACATTAAGCTTGAAAGAACATCTCTCTTGTTTTGTTACATATTACAGACGACAATAATGAAATGTATCATCGGAATACCTTTTTCAATTTTTTGCAAGATTAAATTCCTTCCGAACGTATCGATAGGCTTATAATAAATCGACATGTCTTCCCTTCGCACCAAAGTCATCGATCTTAGGAACAAGTGCCTCGATAATCTTAGGAACGGGACCTCCACCATCGACCTAGTCCCATTGTCATCCCTCGCGCGGATCTTAGGAGTAGAGAGCGGTAAACGCAGAACGCGGGGCGCGTACGGCGCGATCCGACAAATTGCGACGGTACTCCGCGAGATTAAACTCAGGAGACTAATTAAATGAGGACACGTAAACGAGCGCGATTTAAATCTCTCTCTCGCCCCGCTTCGGGTGAACGTTTAAAATTTCCGCGAACCCCTCGCAGCTCGAGTCGCGCGGGATATATTCTCCGGACCCCGGTCACACTTCGGGACGCAGACGCGCTCGAGCGGAAGAATCAAATGTAAAAATTGAATAGGAGCTAACGACACAGCCGCGATTTAGTGTCTGGGCCGGCCTGCTCGTCGCTGGCCGCCCCTTGCTCGCTCGAAAGGGTGTGCCTGATGATATCCGGCTCGCCGATTAAAGTTTCAGCTCTTCCGATTGTGCCGGCACGGATTATGGGAAGTGCGCGGAAACATCTCCGATGAAATTTTTATTCGTTAAAAATCGCGTGGTCAGGAAGGAGAAATTTATATCTCGTGTATATAAAAAGAGTGCCGAGTTTTAATATTTACATTGTTAAATATTAAAGGATGAAATTTAAACCAATTGAAAGCTTGAAAAAAATAACATTTTGTTATTTTTAACTACCATGTGTGTCGAAATTTATTATTTTAACACAAACTTTAGTAGGAGCAGTGGCGACTTATGGGAATGGTTAAAAATGACTTAAATTGAGTATAATTTGACATTGCAAATTGAACAGTGTAATATAGAATTAACTATATAAATAGAATAGAAGAATTATAGAATTAAATGGTATAAGAAAACTGGATTAATTAATAACAGCTGGTTTTATAAAACAATGCTTGATATCTCCTTGAATCAAGGATCTTACTTGACATTCATTGTCCAGAAATAATTATTGCTCAACAATGGTGCGTTGCGATGAAAACGCGTTAGTGCAAGCAATTTATTTCAATGAAAATTTTCAAAGTTTCCGTGGACTTTCTTTCGCCTTTTTGAAATTCTCCCCATTTGACTTATCGCTAACTCCCTCATTCATTTAACGTGACTCTGAAAGAGCCAATTTAAATTTCGCTCAAGCACGTCCCCCAGCAAAGTAATTCATTAAAACGAATAATTTAACAAAGTGAAGAAACATACCGCCGCGTGATGCACGTGTTTTTGAGGGGAGGTGAGGCCACGGTGGTAAAAAGCGCTCCCTCGGCAAAATAAACGTTTTGCCTCGACGAAAAACTTAATCGCCCACGGGGAAGCGGGTCTCCGCCTTGAGCGCGTGAGCTTTGATTGCGAAAAGTCAATCACAAGAAGCTCCCCAAAGCACGGCGAAAGACAAACTACGGGGTAAAAAGCGCCAGAAACGTTTCCTCCAAGGACGGCTTTCCTTCTCGGAAATCTGCTTTCGTTCGCGTAATTGAGAAGACTGGGAGACGTAAGCTGACATTTTTTGTTGGAAATAAGACGCCGGCATTGCGCGAAACGTGAAAGGGAGCAATTCCGCGCCGGGGACAGGCATATTCCCCTCGAGGCTTCATCAAAGCTGTCCGCGAAAAGGGAAGAAATTATAAAGAGCAATGTTACGATTCTTTATTTCTAATATCCTTTAATTTTCTTCCGATACACGTTTCTTGGTGTTTCGAGATGATGAAACTGTCCGCTAGCAGCTTCGGAGTCTCAAGGTATACATTCGTCGCCCTACACACGTATCGGACCGATATCTGTATTTCGTTCAGTTCGAAATTCGTTGAATGCTGATATATCTGTCCGTCCAATCATCGTAAACGTTGAACGAAAAATATTCAATGCATTTTCCACTCTCTTTTTTAGAAATTGACAAACGAATCGTGTATCGGCGACTGACATATCGGCGTGTTTCTTGTTTTAGTTTAGTTTTTATCGTCAATATTTCGAGTTGACGCGATTCCAGCTTGGCCCAGAAATATCCAGCCGAGAAAATTCGCATATTGTCCCCGACGTATGAGGCGCGAGACATAATCAAGACCAGATGAATGCGAAATATGTTACGGTCGAACGTGTAGCTAAACCGCGTTTCCCCCTTCTCCTCCCCCCCCCCTCTCGCCGAAGTCTACAATGCCCGGTCTTCGATGTACCGTTGCAGATTCCTGAACCCTGCGATGGCCAATAAGAACAGGATACAACCACCGTCGAAGATAGTCCACTTCTTCAACACTCCGCCGGATCTGACCGAGGAGACGGTGAACCGCGTGTTCGTGGAGCGCGGCATCGAGGCACCGACGACGATCAAGCTGTTCCCCCTGAAATCAGAACGATCGTCCTCCGGTCTGATCGAGTTCAGCAGCGTCGGTATCGCGGTGGCCGCTATCATGGAATGCAATCACACGGCGCTCGAGAACAGCAGTAAGTATATCGACGTACGATCGTAAAACTCGGATTTCTCCCGCGCGTAGCGTTTCTCGGCGAGAATAGTCTCCGGTCGTGAGGATTTTTACGCGATTATTATATTCTGCGGCAACTTTATCGCTTATTCGCCCGACTTGGACTCTCGGATTTCACTTCCCTCGTCCTGGTTTACGATTCTCTTCGTGCGATGTAGCGAAGTTTCCCACTTAGTTTCCGTTTGTGCTTCTATTCCAAGATTTTCGACGCGATCACTTTTATATCGAGAGGCAAAGTTGAAGAAACGAGCTGTCGTGTCGACCATAAAAGTTGCCGAAACGTTGTGGAAGAATCCAAGTATTTGAGCTTAAGGAAAATAATTTTATTATTCTCAAAGCGGATTATACAATTCACCTCATATTCCTTTATTCGTTACCTTTAACTTTCCAATCAACTTTTTGTAAACCGAGACGTATGTACACTGTTAAATATTAAAGATTAAATTTAAACCAATACCTCGAACCTTAAATAACATTTTATTATTTTTAACTACCATGTGTATCGAAATTTATTATTTTGAAAACAGTATTGTTTTAACTTTATTAGTTTAGTTAAATTAACGACATATTGAGTAGGAATTGTGGCGACCTATAGGGATGATTAAAAATGACTCAAATTAAGTATAATTTGACACTATGAATTTAACAGTGTACACGATATAAGAATCGGGATCGACAACGTCGTAGTTAACGATTAGAATCGCAATGCGTAGAGAACTCGTCTAAAGTTTTAGTTATCCCCGGTGATCCCGCTTGAAAGCGAAAGCTGTCAAACTCGGGAACCTTGAAACGTGAGGAAAACGTAAGGAAAACGGGCGATCTTGTCAGGTCTCCCTTCGCTAAGCGAGTTTAGGCAGCGAAATATTACAAGGCGATCCCCTCGCCGCGCTTGTCTGTTACAGACGGCAAGTTCCCCTACATCATGAAGCTCTGTTTCTCGTCGTCGCGCACCATACCCACGAGCTTCCCGCCCAGCAGCGGCAGCGCGAGCAATTCCGCTGGTAATGGCCACGTCAAAATGCAGCAGGACTCGGAATAGAACGGCGAGGTCCAGGGCCAGCAGCGTCAGCGTCAGCGCCAGCGCCCCTCACTCGCCGCCCTGCACCCGTTGTGTGCCCCCGCGACGGCGGGCACGGCCCTGCACCCCGCAGCCGCAGCGATAACGCTGTCCCCAGTTCTACCGCCGCCGCCACCGGTACCGCCGCCCCTGCCGCCACCCACCTGTCTCCTGATAGCCACCCCGACCCTCTATCCGACCGTACCGCCACCGCCCCCGCCCCCGTTGCCCACCTTCTGGCCCTACTGATACGGCGGGCCCGCACGTTGGATGGGTGAGACGAACGCACGCGAGATCGTTCGAGGATGGACTCTCCGAGGACGAGAAGAATAATCGGGGGCACACACGCGTTCCCCGCGACGAAGAGGAAAACGTCCGTCGGGATGGCCGTTTATTTTCGATCGAACGCGCGACGGAGAGACGAGACCCGGTCGTTCCGCAGCTTGTCCGCTAAGGTCCACCGGGTTCGGAAAGAGTCGCGGGTATTCTTGGACACGTCGCTCTCTCGGAGTCTTCATCCCGTCGCGGTCGAAGGCTTAGAGAAGTTTTCGATGGTACGGTGTGTAACTTGACGCCTAATAGTACCGTGTCCCGCTAGAGACACGTTGTCAACGTGAGTCGGACACGGCAACTCGGCGTCCGACGAGAGGTGGGGGTATATAAGTGCGGACGACACGTCGGCGGGAACGTCGCGGCGGAGCAGCGTCGGTGCCGTTGAAGCCGCACGGGGAATCCTTCGCGGCCGGCTGGTCACGATTTTCGCGGCGTCTCGCCGCGGGAAGAGCGAGACGGATGACACACGTACGCGTAGCCGCGTTCCAATTTTGGAGACTCCTGTAAATAGCTCGGAGACCAGCGGCCTCCGACGCGCATACATATCAAAGGGCTTGGAAGTAAATCGGTACGTTTCGCGAGGAACCATACATGCGATTTTCGCGGAAGCTTCTCGCTCGAGGAAAACGGCGCCGGTGCGGAGGAATATCTTTAGAAAAACACGAATCGTCTCGAACGAGACCGTGGACCGCCTCACGAGAGAGAGAGAGAGAGAGAGAGAGTCTGAAGAGGGATAGAAACTTGTTGGGCGAGAGAAGCTTGTAGCACTCCATTAGCTAAGAGAGATGGATCGAAGGAGATGAAACGACTTGAGGATAGTGAAGCTGTCTCGGAAAAGAGGCAGCTCGCGGAAAGTTTAGCTCCTTCGAGAGAGAAATCGTTCGGGGAACTTTGAAGACATCTCCTCGGAAAAGAGTTAAAAATACGATCTATCAGAAAAGAAATGGTTAGGTGATGGAGAATCTCGTAAGGCGACTGCACCTTCGTAGGAACGACTGAAAGGAGATAGAATCCGTTACCCGATAACCATCGAGAAGGCGCGCACCGTAGATCTCTCTGGTGGTAGCGGAATGGCTTGAGGACGGTCCACCTTCTTTGAAAGAGGAATCGCACCGAGGAGAGAGGATCGAACCTCTCAGAAGAGGGGGGCAACTGAGAAGATCGAGGAAATCCTCTCGGAAGAGGCGCGATTCGTGGGAAGCTGGAAGCCGTGACGAGAGTGCGAGAAAGTGCGGAATATCCCTCGTGGTTGCTCGCGAAGCGGACAGGTGGGCGCTGCTTCCGCGAAGCCCGGACGTATATATGGCGTCTTCGGCGTTCTCAATCGACCGCCGCGCGTCGATTCGTTCGCTCGCGTCCGACGATCGCGAAAACTCTCACCCAAAACTCACCGAGGCGTTCGCGCGCGACCGCGCGACGTCTCCACGACATTTTTGTTTCTTAGGCCGAGCCACGCGCTCCTCGACGACCATATTCTGTGGGATCCAATAAACCGAAACCGGAGATTTCTCAGCGACCACTTAATAAAAACCACGGGAATAGAATTTTTTAGAGGAGTGTTTCTCACACAGAGGAATGGATCTGAATCAATCGTGCTCATCGAAAACTGAGCGACCTGCGAGAAACGCGCAGCCCAAATCCGCTTTAAGTGTCTAATAACGCGCCGCTCCGTCGTCGGCTTGCGGCAAGCGTCGCGCGGCAACGTTCTCCTCATCGTTTACCGATGCATCCGTTTTTTTTTTAACGTTAACGCTGATGTTGTAATTTTAACACTCATCCGGATAACCTGATTTTGTAGATAATGATTTTCTATTAGAACTCTTTGACAGATTAATGTAGGGATATTTCAGACGACTGAAGGATTTGCCGCGCAACAACATCGTATTCCACACAGAGCAACTTTCACATGCAGTTCTTTTGTGCGGTTTTTTTAACGTATTTCCTTAATCTATTATCGCTAAAGAACGCGAAGATTTTTAATTGGGGCCATAATCGAATTTTAAAAAAACAACTTTTAACTAAGACTTGCATTGCTTTGTGGCTTACCATGTTATTGCACCAAGTGATTCTTTAGATTACCAAATCTAATTGCAAATTTTACTTTAATTATGATACAATCGCGTTTTGCTTTTGTATCAGAATAAGAAAATCAGAAAAAAAATAATTTAAAAATAACTATATTTGTCAATGTTTGTTACATAGAGATCATAATTATATCTATTTAATATGTATTCTTATATTCCTTTGAAATTTAAACTTTGTTGCGTTATAGCTTTAGATATAATTCGAAGTAAAGGAGAAATAAAGCGTCGCCATTTTTTAAATGATACTTCCAATTAAAAAAAGAAAACAGTGATTTTTTCGTGGAAAAGAAGTTTATTCTCGCGAGAATAAAATTATACCGTATTCAGTTACCCGGATAAGAGTTAATCTCACGATCTTACTGATTTCTTACGCTGAACAACAACGCGAAAATCTTTCGACTGCTCCTTGGTTCCCCTTCGAACCCCTCGCGCGGGGCTTCTCGCGAGTCCTAAATATTAACAATAAAGTCGTCTAGACTGCTATCAATTAAGAGGACTAAATCGTTTCCGCTATCCTCACTTACACCTCCGCTTCTCTAATTGAAGAAATCCCCGGCTCACCTTCCCTCCCACCCCCCTTACCCCCTCACTTGAAGCTGTAGTGTTCAGGTTGCGACGAGATGACACGTATCAGTGCTCGCACGCTCGAACGAGCGCCGCGTTGCACTCGTACACTTTTGATCAGATCGCGGACTGCGAATTGAGAATTTTATATTATCGAAGCAAAAAAAAAAAAGAAAAAGCACACACGTACATATACGATAATAAAGAACAATGAAGACGACGATACACACACACAATATATTAGTGTCCCTCGGTAATATTTTGTCGGGCCGAGGGGCGTTTTTATAAGAATGGTTTTAGATCTCCGAACAAATTTTGCGAAGCGAACCAAACGACTACTACTAAACTAAAATAAATAAATAGACTCTTTGACTTCTCGGCCATACGTAACGTAAGATAATAAGGGCCGAAACGCGCGCGCCCTTTGAGAGATGCGTGAATATCAACCCGCCGTTTTGTCCATTGTCCGTGAGAGAGAGAGAGAAAGAGAGAGAGAGAGAGAGAGAGAGGGAGCGAAAGAGTGGGAGAGATAGAGAGAGAAAGAGAGACCTAACGCAAATGAGATATAATTTAAATAAGGATACAAAGTTTATATTCGAGGCAATATTTGTTACAATACGACTAGGGGATAAGTTTGTGGGTACCGTTTTAAAAAAAAAGGGGCTTTGGCCGCGCGCGGGAACGATCCCCGCGACGATGGTCGACCGCGAAGAGGACGCTGAAACCGTTGTCGATCGTGAGGGACGACGCGGGGAAGAAACGCGTGAATGCAAGAGCGAGGGTGAAAAAAAAGAAATAAATGAAACAAGAGGTACTAAGCTAAAGCGACGCGCGTCGATTCACCGCGCGTCGCATCCGTCGTTTCGTTATCGCACTTTAGATTCACGGTTGCGTTCGTGTTCCAACGATTAATATAGATTTATTTTATCTCGGGGCCCCCCGGAGACCCACTCCTCTCTGGGAAGATAGCGAAAGAAATTGTTTTACATCACATTCTTATATTTTTACTATTATTAATATATTATTATTCTTTAATTATATGTATGTAAAATTTAGGTCGCCCGTAGGGAGTAACACATCACGTTTTATCCGAGGAGCCCTTCGAAGTTTTGATTTAGTGAAACAGGACCTAAGACGTAAGGCAAATTAGACTTTAAGCCAGTTTAGGACGTGTAATCATATCATACAGTTTTGTAGATAAATATATATAAAATACATATATATATATAGATATATATTTATGTGATGCGGAGTACGGCGTTTAAATCAAGAGTGTATGTCGCTGCGTACTCGATACTTACTCGATAGACGAGTATTCGAGATGTAATTCCCTGTCGTATAATTTCTCAAGGTCGCACTTGCGAGTAAGAAATTCGTTCGATTTTAGTCCCGAAATTTTTAAATATCTACATTATTAAAAAAAAATTAAGCAATTATTTTTATCCGCGACTTTTCGAATAAGCCATTTTTTTTTCACTTAATTTAATATTAAAATTTTTCGTTAATATTTAATATTCAATATTAAAATAATAGAACTTTTTACTCGCTTTTTTAACTTTGTTTCATATAAAAGTGAATGCAATAAATCGATGGGCGGAAAAAGAGAGGAGAAGACTTTGAGATTAATCGCTCGCCTTTTTCAAATAGATGAACACAGCTTATTCTTGTCTTTGTCAATGCGGAAAAAAGAGAGAGAAATGTATCTTCTTTTTCGAGGAATTGTACAGCAGCGGTGTAATGTTTTGCTGCCGCATCTCGATTGGAGCGGTACTCTCGAGCGACGAGAATCCCGCTCCAAGTTTAACGGGGGCCGCGTCGTAAAAGGAACGCCCTAAATCGAGGGGAATCGAGCACGCACAATCAGACGGTCGCTTATTTTCTGACACTTTACCCGCGCGCTAAGACTCCGGTAAAGTAAGAAACATACGTAGAACGTATTTACAACGAACGCTCGCTTAACAACACACTCGTCCCGGTCGCATTTTCGATCCGGCGCGATAACGCGCAAACGGGGATGGAGTCCCAGGCGCGTCCGCCCCTCTCCCGCTCCTTCCCCCGAACGATCGACCTTTACATTTAACCCTTTTCCGCGTGCGCCGAGCGTAATTAGAACAAAGTGAAAAAAAAAGAAGCCAAGAGTCGCGCCAAGTTCTAGAGTTGGCGTTGTAGATGAGGTCGACGGTCCCCGATAGGCGCGTTAAACGAGGACCGTAGATTAGTCTGAAGATGAGGATAATAAGATGAGGGCGAAGAGAGACGGTTAGATAGTTTCGTAGTCCGTGGAAGACGGAAAATTTCCTAAGGGTAGCCGCTTGTCCCGTTCGCGATAGAGTGATATCGGCCGGTTGGAAGGGGGTTAAATCTAAAGAGATACCATTACATATAAAAGTAAACGAATATATTATATATATATATCAATTTCGAGTACTGTGCATCAGAAGATGACGAGCCTCGCGCAAAGGAGGAGCTCACGGCTTGCATATCAGCGCTCCAACGCTCGACCGGAGCACCCCCCCACCGGAACTGACGCCGCAGAGTTCCCGGGGGATTGTACGATTCCGTACGTAATTGCGCGCCGTATCGAAAGAGTTACAATTGGGGGTAAACGACTGCGAATGTAAAGGTATTCGGCGGCCGTTCCGTTAACGCGACAGGCTTGCATTTTCCTGCAGTCATGAGGTCGTTTAATCCTGCCAGGTCGACGCGATGGGCAAATGACAATAGAGACAAACGCTTCTTAACAGGACTAAATTTGTTTACTGCGCTTGCTACGTAAAAAGGAAGAAAAAAATATATTACTCTGTCGCTGTGTAGGGGCATATCCGATTGACCGAAGGGGTGGAAGAAATTTACACTTGAAGAATATTCTTATAAATGTAATCCTCGGGAACCTGCTGCTGCAGTTAGGAGTTGTAAGGGGGAAAGGGGTGGCGCACGTAGATAGACATAGAAAAGACATACGATGTAAGATTAATCGCGCGTCTCTTTCCAATGGACGAATGGATGTACATAGCTTACTCTTTCTTTTTTGTTTTTGGTACGAAGAGGACCCCCTACAAGTAAGTTCGCGTACTCTCTCTCTCGCGCTAAGTGTCACGCTTATACCCATAGTGGATCTAATTAAATTGAAACGTATCGGTGGACGGAGAAAAAACGTAAACCGACGCGTCAATTGCGAAATAAATAAATAAATGCATCGCGTAAATTTACGATAGTCCCGGAACATCTCGCGGACATCTTCTGGTGAACAGGTTCTAAACGTGTACAAAATCAAATTGTAATTTGGTAGAGCCCGTAGTGATCCTGTAAACGGTACAGTATTCCAGGTAGAGAGGTATACATAGCAGCACTGTGTATGTAAGCACGAACTACATGTTATTTCACACAGATTAACACTGTGCGTACGCATAAACATACCAACACACCGAGAACTCGAGGTTGTAAAGATGAGCCATCTGTGTCGATAATTAATTGTAATCTTTTGAGAGCAAGCTATTGGATAATAACTGGTTCTAGATCTTACTAATTACATATCCCATCTATATGTATATATTTGCAATCGCATGAGAAATTTTATCGATTAATTGTCGATAATGTAATTATCATTAATTCTCATTAATAGTGTTATGATTATTTATAGCCCGCGGCCCGCGTTGCGAACCGAAGCAGGGGCCGAAATAAGTACATATGTTAAATGGACATTGCGTTTAAGGCGTTAGGTTAATGCTCGTTAGTTAGATATTTAGGTGGTTAAATGCAGCGTAGGTACATATCGTTAATATTGTTATTAATTAATGGTATTGCGAAAGGGTATTAATACCGGTGCGCTTTGATTTCTTTTGTACACACGAAGAAAGACTTCCCTTAGCTTATCCGACAGATCGATTCTGTCTCTCGCTGTCAGGATTTGTTCGTTTTGTATTTTTATGAATATTTCTAATTTTACGATTAATTAAAGCAAAAAAGACATTACTTCGCATTTGATCTGCAAAAAAATAGCAAGAGTTTGACAGATGAAAAAAAAGGTTTACATTAATTTAATTAATTTATGTGAGATTAAATTAGTCTGGTCTGTGATTAGACTAAAACAAAATTGAAATTAACAGAACGGCAGAATTCTTAAATTACATTCTTTATTTAATTAATTACATCGACACAATTGCATCATCTTTCTTCATAAAAATAGCGTGCAAAATCGTTTATACAGTCGTTTATATGACAGTCTTATAATACGTTGATTTTATTTCAATTAATTGTAATCTATAAAATTACATAAAGCCACATAAATTTTATTTTAATTAATGCAAATCTATAAATTGTAAGATTTCCGTTTCGAACCGAATAGTCTTCGGTCGCGCGACGGATCGTACAAAACAAGTCAAAGCGCAGTGTAGCCTTTCTAGCGATCCCCAACGAACCCAAGTATTACCGGTGACATATACCTGCTCCTACATATCAGGTTCTAGACACCCCGAGCACTACCATGCGCCATATCAATGTTTCTAAATGTCCCCCCCCCCCCTCTCTCGGTGTGTCCCCTCCTCGTCCCCCTTCCTGCCCTTCGACGTTCCAAGTGAAAATTAGAGGCACGCCGACTATCGATCACCTTCTGTTCCTTACTCCCTATTCCATCCTCTCCCCTCGCACCCCTTTTATCCCGTACCCCCCTTTTTACCTGTTTCCGCCCAATTTTTCCCCACCTCGTTATTGTACATCGGAGCCGAAAGGGTCTCTAAGCTCTGTCTTCCCATCGCTGCGTGAAAAAAAGACAAATTAGATGTAATAAGATTTGTTGACTGTGTACACATGTATACACATTATTATAACGCATCGATCATGTGCATCACCAGCATACATATACCCACCCACTCGCACACGACACCATTTCACACTACGACGGGGAACACGAGACGACAGCCGCTGCGTCAGGATGGTCCACGCTGGATCGCCAATGCCGAGATCGCAAATCACGTCCGTTAGATCGTTCGCTCGATCGCGCGCGCGTCACTCCACGGCTTGTCTGGTCATTTAGCGAAGAACTTTTTTATCGCAAAGACAAAATTATTTGCTCGGGTCCCTGACGTTTTAATTGATTTTAGTAGATCACAGATCGCGTCCAAGACAATCGATGTTTTATTTGAAAAAGTATATCTTCTTTTTGCATTGTCCAGATTGTGACATATCGCTCCAGATATGAGCGATATTTCGTCGAACAATAGAACCAATTTTTCGTCAAATTCTTTTAACGTGATAAGCTTTTAAAATTTTAACGCGTTTCATTTGAACGATAAATGATCAAGTCATCCCGTGCAATTGCTACGCAAGGCAGGTTTTAATTTACGAAATCACTAGTGAAATTAAAATTATTTTGATACTATGTTACGTGTGTGTGTTATCAGTTTTATAACGTGTCGAAATGGTCAGCAAAACTGTCTACATGATCAAGCAGTTCGCATAAAAAACCAAAGCCTGCCACTGTGATTACCAATTGAATTTTAAATTTTGCAGCCAACTCTTTTATTCATTTGCGCTGTTGATTGGTACAGTTATTATTGCATCCAGTGAAGCCACAGAAATTAATATACGGATGCGGGAGACTTAGATGAAATAAGTTTGCGAACTCCCGGTCCCGGAAAGCTTGCGTTTAAATTAATTAAGTCCGACTTGTAAGCCGAGCCAGGTGGAAATTCGCGACGTGTTACGGGTTCTTCAATCGGATTCGATTTGATTGCTCATTCAAGGAACGTCCCCGTCGTCACGCGCGGCGTTCCGTGTGCGGGCCATAATTTCGA